CCACGGTGGCCTTGCAGAGCTGGGTGCACACTGGGGAGAGACAAGGCATTCTGCAAACCAGCTGAGCTTCCAGCAGCAAGCTCCAGCATTTCACCTCACAGCATTGTTTATCAACTGAAAACTCTTCGAACTCTCAAGCTTCTGAACAAAATGTTTTGCAGGTCCCCCTGAAAAAGTTCTCTACTTACTCTTGTGTGGTTTATAGCATTGAAAAAGAACGAAGCATACTCACGATTAGATTATGTTCTGTACACAAATGACGCTCTGCATTTCCACAGACTTGTTTAATGGAACCTTCCCCAGGATCTCAACTCAAAGTGATATCTGGCATGGAGCACATGTTCCCAGGCCAACCCTCTGCTTGCCCAGCTTCTCTGCTCCACCCCCTACACAAGTTAACTTTTAAATTCCAGTGTACTCAGTGTTCTCAATTCTCTCCACCCCTTTCCTCCCCACCCCCTAACGTTCTATGAAAAACCAAAATGGAATGGAAAAGCAAAGCAGACCATTACAAAAATATTAAGGCCACTCTTTGTAGGACCACTAGAGAGCGTTTGCATGGCAGTAAAATGGAGAGGAAATGGTAGTTTGGAAATATCCCCAAACAATTAAAATAGTATGTGACTAATTTCTGTAGCCTATACCTATAAGCACCCCAAAGAGACAAAACTAACAAGGCTCAAAAGGAACAAATCCACTAAAGCTGAATTCCAGTATCGCCTGACATATAGCATCACAGAAATATCTTCTAGCTCTGGGGCATACTCATTCACTCATAAACATCTACTGAGGACCTACTCAATTCTAGCACTGTGCTAATTAGAGAGAACATAAAGGTAAAGAAATCAGGCTCCAGGACTTTGAAATTGTACCCACGTGTTCCAACATATTTTTAGGGACATATACCCAATGTGGTAAAAATTATTTTTAAAGTGCAAGGAAATGGTAAAACACACATTTCAATACAGTGGTTACCTCTGGGGAGAGGCAGAGAATGAGATCTGCGAGAGCACGCAGGCGGCTTTGGCGTGGGAACTCTTAAAGGGGAACGTTTCCTTTATTACCATACTGCATAGCTTTCATATATGTCACATAGATTCTTGTTATGCAACATATTTTATAGATAATATTAAAAAGAATATGGGAAACAGCTAAAATGAACTTAAAAGATAATAAAACAATTAAGAAAGAGAGAGAAGAGACAGACAGAAAGAAAGAAAGAATATGTCCATATCTAAGAGAAGCTCACATCCTAGTAAAGAGTGATCTAAGAAATAATTGTTAAATATAACATGGTAATCATAACAATAAAATGTTAAAAAAAATCTAAGGGAGTACATAACATTCATATTAATAGCAATGGCATGTAACGTTCAGATCTCCAAATGTCTTTGCACTTAAAAACCTACTTTTACCCTTTATAAGTGTCATTACAGCATTACTTCCCTTGGGACACTTTCTAGACTGCCGGAGTATGGATCCCATGGTCCTCTTCTGTGCATTCATGGGACCGTGTACTTCCCCCAGGAACACAAGACAAACGTACAGGGAGCCCCTGGTTTACTGCTGTATCCCAGTGCCTGGCTCACTGCCTGGCACATCAATAAATATTTGTTCAGAAAACAAATGAGTAGCATTACTGGATTCATTCAGTTCTGTTAAATGGTGGCTGAGACTGAGGAGAAAAGAAGGGTGGAAATGCTAAGTTGGAGAATCCCATCCAAAACTCAAGAATGCCCCAGCTTTGCACAGACAAAACCCTTTTACTGTCCCTGGTAAGCTGGGCTTGGCAGTATACGAACGATGGCACGGCCCGCAAACCATTGCTCTGTATGCACTAGCGCTTCTCAGCCTGTGGCTTGGATCCCACTACGAGGGGAAGAGCATTGGATGTCAGGCAGTAACCTAGTATCAGGTTCAGGCACAGCCTCCACCTCTCAAGAACAGTCAGGCCCGCCAATAGTCCCAGCAGAAATCAGATCTTCCTGGCAGAGGCTTGCAGAGCCTGCGTATCTCCGCCACAGGGGTGAGTACAAGAAGCCAACGACTCAGGAAGATCCAGTTTCCCTGAATAATGTTGCCGCTGCACAGGACAAGCGAGCATCCCTCCCTCTGAAACTGCCACCAACTCCCTCTGAGGAAGAAGGACTCGACAAATAGAACTGTCAACCGACACCTCAAAATGCTCCTCAGACGTCGACACAAGGATGTGATCCACAACTCACTGGAGCAGCACCAAGCATCTAAGAAACACCTGACAAATTGTGTATGACTAACAACAATGGAAAAGGAAGGGGGGCATGATTTTGGTCACAGATCAGTACAGTAGAGATAAAAGGTCACCATGCTAGTGGGGATGTTAATGGGATTTCATTTTTGCCTTGAAACATTACAACGGAAGGCTTATTCTTGCTAGATTATCTGAGTGATATTACATCTGAAATCATGTTTAGTGAAATATATTTAGCTATAGAGCTGGACATACATTGACTCCCAAGTTTCCGACCTCTAAACACCTCATTTTAAATCACATCCTACAAATGTCCTCCCCTTTTTCCATTCAAGTGCGTTGGTATAGTCCTTGCTGCACATGCCATGTTCTTTCCAGGGCAAACAGATGGAAGGAAGAGAATATGCCAGAAAGAAGAAATGGAAAATGAAAATGACATTACAATAAAAATGAAGCTGCAAAATATAATTTGGGTCAACTCTTCATGCGTTTTAAAATCAGTACCAGCAGGCTTTGCACATATGGCATTGGTTTTATGTTTTTTTTGGCTCAGATGTCACACAGGATTAGTGCAAAAGGAAAAATCCCAGCATGGGGTCTATTTTTATACAGATTAATCAATCATTTCCCATCTCTTCCTCTCCCATCATTCCCCAAACTTTCAACTTAATGAAATTGCTCTCTTTTCAAAATATGCCATTTATTGCACTCTGAACGGAAATCCTTTCAGAAAAGGAAGTGAGCTTAAAATTTGAACCTAGATTTTTAATTGTCACATTTTAAATTCAAGTTATAAATATTAACTAGACAAGCTATGGCCTAGCCCCTTTTATCTTACATATCCATCGTGAAATCCTACAAATTCATTAGTGGGGGCAAAATTAATTGGCAAACATTTTATTATATATATGTATAGCCATTTAACAACAAGAGAAACCCATGCATTTGAAAAGAGAAAGCTATTGTATATCTCACATTTTGTTAGGGACATTTTCATGTACATCGCATGCCATTAATTCCCATCAGGATGCCAAGCACATAACTTCTTAATAAGTATTTGATAGGAAATTTGATAGGCTGAAGGGAACCAAACTAAAGAATTGTTCAAGCTATAGCTACAGCTTCCTTGGACTACAAAGCATTGTAACGATGATGATGATGTCTATAATAACCATAATACAACTGCAGTAAATATTTATTGTATGTCATGCACCACTGATTATGCCACTGACATTTCAAAGCAGGCTCATGTCATAGGTACTATTATTATTCTACTAAACAGATGAGAAAACAGTTTCAGAAAGGAGATTCAGATACTTGCAGGTAGAAACAGATTCCATGTTATGCTGGTTTTCAGAGATGGGCAGGGGAATTTATCACAGACACAATGAGAAAGGGAAAAGGGGCCTTATACTACTAATGAAGTGAAAAACTTTGGAGAAAGTGTCATCAACATCAATTTCTTCAAAACCATGATCACTAAAGAGTTCATCACACACCCTTATCTGTCTGATGCTCCTTTGATGGATGGAAATTATATTTATAAAATATTAAACATAAAATATTAAAGCAATGACCTAAAGCTTGACCTCAGTGACAAAGTCAGAGCCACAGTAGTCACCAGCACATTCACATTCACAAAGGGTGGTACCTTTTTACCATTTGGGGCAATTAAAATTAAGCCATGACTAACACTTGGAAAAGATGACATCACATTGGTTGTCGTTTGCCTAATGGTCGGTCATGAGTAGCGAACATAAGAGAAATTTACAATCTAGCATAATACTGTGGCCATACTTTTAAATGATTAAAATATGAATCTCTCTTATATCAATACAGTACCTCTTTTACTGTTTTTTAGAGCTGCTAGATGCCAGCTATCTACTACGGACAGTCTAAAAATCTAAATTTTACACAATATTAAAGTTATTGGACTAGAGTTGGGGTTAGCATACGTTAGCTCTTCTGTTTCTACCAATTAATGTTAACACCACAGGCATTAATCATTTGCCCAGCACATGAAAATAGCTTTAAGATGATGCATGGGTTTTACAACATTGCAAACCCAACCCTTATGCTCTTAGAATGTACAGTAAAGAGTATTAGATCAAATCAGTTAATAAAAAGAAAACTCTTCCACATCCTAATTCCATGGACATGAAGAGTTTCAGAATTTCTACTGGATGCCAAGTCAGGAAAGTAAATTAAAACTGGTCAGAGAGATGTGCTCTGAATAATTTCCATGGTGACCCGGCAGACAAGAGCACATGAGCAGGCTCTCTCTTGATAATAAATACATGGCGTCTCAGCCTACACAGAGGCCCACTGCAAACTCTGTGCGGTGCCAATTAGCATTAATTGTGGCTGTGCTCATCTATTCCCAGAGTACCACTGGGTTAAGTCCAGGCTTTGCATTTACAAATGCAGCATGCAATGCTCACAGTTAGAAGAGCATTCTAAAATGGAAGTATCTGTAGTCATTCTTTTTCATTTTGGCTTCAAATTGCTCAGACAGACTCACAAGTGTCACAAGTGATTTGTCACAAGTGACAAGGGGTATTTAAAACAATCCATGTGTGTATTATTAAAAGTTTAGTTACAGGCTCTGCATTCGGAGTTGCCTCTGAAAGGCAGAGTTGAAACTTTGTTTTCAGACCACATTTTTGGCCTACCACAACTAACTTTACCCCGCCCCCCCAACATACACACACAGAGCATATCCTCTGTGATCCAATATAATTATTTACTTACTGTGACTAGTACTACTTACTTAGAAGGTAAGCTCCGTAGACTTTCATGGCAAACACTGCCTCTGCAGACAGCCTCCCACCACAGGCTGGGGTATGTTTTGTGCAGAAATACAGTGTGTGCAGCTCATCGCTCAGTGGAGTACAGTCTCAGAGTGGGGTATCCATGGAGACCGAGCCTCCTACATGTGCAGGGCAAGGAAGTTACTCTGCCGGGCACCATAGCAACAGGAGGCAGAGGGGAGGCTGGCGTATCAGAGAAGAGCACAGGAGCTTCTCCCTGGTGAGTGCAGCATTTCAAATGAAACCATCGCCCTCATGAATGGACACAAAGCATTTAAAGAAATACCAAATTGTCAAATAGAAGTAAATGCCTACAACAGCAGTCAAGGCTGGTCCTTTGACAATGTTAGAACAAAACACTTAAGAGTTCTGCTAGAATGACTGTATCCCAATGGGCAAGAAAGAAATTATGTCAAAACCCCACACATGCCTAAATTTAATGGCAAGCATGTGATGCTTTGAGGCGAATGTTTGGTGTACTCCATAAAGTCCAGCTACTTAAACATGCGAGGCACTTCACAGTGCTGCCTGGGAGCGAGAAACAGGAGAGATCTGTTGTTCTGAAAGGAGAAAACGGAATCGACGGCTCTCTGGGACAACTGTTGGCATATTTCTTCCATAAGAAATAAGAGTTTGCTTAGAGTAAATACGTTTTATCAAGCTTCCACCAAAGTCCTCCATTATATCAGAATAATTCATACCAAGACGGGATCTGTGATAAAGTAGGACCAATGCAGACAAGATGATGAGTGGGCATTCAAACGCCTTAAAGTTGGGCTATTTGTAAACATTCCTCATTCCTCATTTAATAACAGTAATCACAGTGATCATTTATTGTGCACATACTGTATACCAGGCAAACACTGTCACTACCAATACAGCTTTCTGCCAAATGCTGACACCGATTTTTGCAAAGATACAGGATGTGCATGTTTCCTTAGTGCTTGTGCAGTATTTACGTGACACATATGCTCTGCCATATACCTAGCATATTTTATGATTCTCACAGCAACTTGAAAAAGCTAAGTATTAATCATTCCCCCACATTATAGAGAAAAAGAGACAATATTTCTTTATGTTACCAAAGAAACTCTTCCATCCACTAACTCCCCTTCCCCCAACTGCTCTGCAGGCGGCCTGGTCCACCCTATTCAGCGTCTAAATATAAGTGAGGTACCCTCCTCCCACAATGACCTCTCAGAAAAGAAGAAAGAAATCCTCTTACATTAGAGTCTTTCCAAAGCCTGTTATTATAGAGCTCTCTTTCGTAATCACCTTCTTTGAACAAAAAGTGTCATCTGAAAAAGACTTCAGTCTAAATTGATCTCAATCAGAGCTGGTTTGGGCTACCTTCGGAGGTCAACTGACGGGGGATTGTGTAAAATGAAGGGGGCTGAGAAATTCAAAACAGATTTTGTAGTCATTCCCATGGTACGACTCCTCCAGCTTTTTAAAGATCACTTTAAATAGCAATACAGTCAACAGGTAAGTTGTAGAGGTCGCAAAAACTCACAATCCTGGCTAACTGAATTCAGGAACTGAATAGCTTTGGAGAGTGAAGGCTACTCATACGCATCTATAGGAAAAAGAACCACCAGCTGTCCCCAAGCTGTACAGCGGCTGTTGTGACTACCTGCTACTTGTCCTCCAATGTCCACCTCCATTTGCCCCTCCTTCCGGAATAACAGGTGCCCATTAGACTAAGTGTCCCAGGATATAATTGGAAATGACATGTGCCACTTCTGTGTCCTGACTTTAAAATGACTGGGTGAGTGTCCCCTGGTCCCCTCCCCCCTTCCTTCTCCTGACAGATGACAGTCAACCTGACATAGCTGCCAGCAGACTGAATCACCCAAATACCTATGTGCTGGTTAGCAAGAGACAAACTTCTGTCTGGTTTTAACCTCTGTATTTTGGGGTCTCTTTTTACAGTAACTTAACCCATAACCTTACAGTACTTGTAGGCTTGAAAAAATATCCAATGAGAAAACAAGACACGGATTCAAAATTACTTTCTATCAAATAAATTGGACAGAAGTGAAGATGATTTGCTCTGGAAAAGCCAGATGAGTTAAAAAGTAGTTCTAGGGGTGAGAAAAATGGAATGAAATTTTTAAATTAGTTATGAATTAAAAAATCAATGTTTCTAAATTAATAGTAGAGTACAAACATGCTTAATTAAAATAACAAAAACCCACTGGATATTGACTATTTCACCCATACCTCTAAAGCTTTACTCAAGTGAGCAAATAAAACAAAACATTTTAAAATCTTATTGGCAAAATGGGGGACCTTATATTCCGTCATATACACCTATCCATACACTGTTTCTTTTTTCACTGCCTCCTTCCTAGGCTAAGACACCCAAATTTAGTGTATCTGCTTCCAGTTTTATCTCTTAAAAATCCAAGCACCACAGAGTAGCCAGAAGGATCTCAAACACATAAATCAAATTATGTCTCTCTTCTTAAAATGCTCCAACTGCTCCCCATTACTCTAACAATACAGACCTCACCTATGACCACTCTTTTCCCCCTCCTAACTCACTGCTCTGCCCTGCCCCAGCCCTCCCCAAACATGCATGAATATGGCTAAGTTCTCAGCTCAAAGGTCATCTCCCCAGCCACTCCCCTGCCTCACCCAGAGTGGCTGTCTATAGCATTACCTTGTTTTGCTTGTCACTATCTGAACTTACCCTGTCTGTTTGTGTATCAGCCATCTCCCATAATCAAGGCAGGCTCCTCAAGAACAGGCATCTTGTCTGTTTTCTCATTCCCCTATCCTTAGTGCCTGGAACAATGTGGATCAGCACAGAGCAATGCTTAATAAATACCGATTGAGTGAATGAATGAAAGCTAGTCAATATACAGCCAGGATTCAAACCTAGGTTTGGCAGAAACCTTTGATATGTGGTGAAGTGAGGGCTCCCTTCCTTTCCTTAGACTCCTACATAGAGATCGCTTTCCTGCAATGCCACAAACATTCTAGTCCGTGCATCTTGGGATCTAAGCCCACTGCAGCCAGGTCCCTGAAGCTGAAGCGTCACTCACTGAACCACAGCCTGCACTCACGGAGCTTAGTGCTTCCCCTTGGCTGCTGTCAGATACAGGCCTAGGTGGTAGAAGATTTTAACTCAGTGAATTACCCAAATCAACACACTATGTTGTTCAACGCATAACTTTTTGTCAATAACCTACTGTACACCAAATGCCACACAACAAATTATGCCAATGACACAGAGAAGTCAGGGCAGTTATTCATCTCTCTGGCTCCTTCCTGTCCGGGGCTTCACTCCTCTATCAAAGTACTTCACCAGAGCCTCAGAGTCCTCTCCCTCTGGGTTCTGGGTCACTTGACCCTCCTCTTGCCCCTTCAGGATGTGGGAATGGCTCCAAGCTGTTGCCAGCGCCAAGTATTTCACCAGACCTTGTTAGAGCTCTTTAATCATGCCCATCTGTCTGCATGCAGACAGTCTCCTCAATAAACTCTCCTCAATTAGGAAAAAAAAAAAAAAAAGCCCAATCTAAAGCATACATCTGCATGATTTAAAACTCTTGGTTTATAAGTTGGTGTGTAAAAGAAGTTTCCACGTTTATTTCTCTTATGTTGGCAGCCGATAGATACGTTTAACAGTTGGTGTGTGGTCCGCTGCAGCCTCTGCTAAGTATGAGAGCTATAATGCTTTGTTCTCAACACATCAGAGCACTTACTAAGCATCTGGCAGGCCCCCAGATCAGTGGCTAGAACACAGCACATGCAATAAATCCTATTAGACTGGGGTTTGGATGACAGTTACCTTTGGGAAGATGAGGATTATAATTCACTAATTCTTAGGAAAAAACCATTAACGGACCATTTGGCAGCGTTACATTGATTGGGTGCACCATCAAAAGTGCAGATGGGAGAAGGGCATGAGAGTACGTATGTAACCCTGCCATAAAGATAAACACTCAAGTCCACTCCCACATTTGAGCTTTATTTTCCTGGTCTGGCCCCTGTTGGGGAGAAGTGATAGACTATACAACAGTCCACCAGAAAACATTCTCTGCTGTATCCTGGCTGAGCATTCTCTCTCTCGGGTGGAAGTTCCAGAGCTCCACTTCAGTAGAAATGCAAAAGCTCTTGATTAAGTTGACAAAATCTAATGATATCTGTTTACGGAAATACTCAAGATACGCCGGGTGGCACATAAAACATTTTGACACATAGAGAAAGGACTAGTTCATGATTAAGTGGAAAATACTGAAGACCTTAACATTCCTTTGATGTTCACATCCTTATGGTTTATTTTACTGATCTGCATCCAAACAGCCTCATGTATTCAACTTTCCACAATTTCACTGAAGTTCATTGATTTTTTTATGAGCAACAGCCAGCATAATCTACACATGGACTATATTAGTTAATCTATAAAAATCAATAAAAATTGTTAGGGCTCTACAAATATTAAAGAAAAATAATTCCTATCTTGTCTTTCTCAATTTTGATATCCTTTATTGCAATTAAAATTACTACTCTGAAGGCAGGCCTTACGACCAGTACAATGGCTAACAGGAGCAAGACTACCTGGTGTAAAATCTATTTACAAGCTGTGTGACCTTGGATTAGTTATTAACCTCTCTGTGCCTCAGTTTCCCAATCTGTAAAATACGGCATAATATCACCCTTGATGTTAGGATTAAATGAGTCAAGTGCCTGGAATTTTGCCTGGGACAGTCAGTGCTCAATAAATGTCAGCTAAAACATTTTTAAACCCAATTTCAGAGTGTATTCAAGCCCACAATTACACCTAATACATCCTTCCAGATATTTTCATAAGGATTTCAGTATCCGAAATAGAGTACAGCCTGTATCTGAGGCTGGGCCTTGTTGCTGTTAAGACCTCTGAGTGTAACTGTAAACTATTAGAAAAATAACGCCTTGCCAAGAATGCTGAAAGTTTCCATACAACCAAAATCTCATTTAGCACTGAAATTTTAATTTTTTCCATTCTATGAAAATATTTCTAAAATGCTTAAGACATTTTTCTGCCCTCATACACATCATTTTCTGTCAACTCCACCATCGCAATGACTCAGTCTGTTTCTAGAACATTAATTACCGCACTAAATGCCACAAAGCATTTAAACACTTAAAAGGCCACTATGCTTTCTAGTGGTCCTTTGTCTGCTCTTTCATGTTGTCCTGTCTTTTTCCTCACTGTCAAGCCATCAGATGTCATTTTCTACTCCTGTCAGGGTCCTCCACAGAAATGACCATTATTAACAAATTACCGTTAAAATTAAAATTAAAATTTAATGGTTAAAAATAACCATTAAAGTTAAAATTACCATATTAACAAATGACCGTTATTAACATTCACTGAGGAATTACTTTGTGCCAGATCTACTGTTGGGTACTTGGCATTCATTAGACTATTTAATCTTCGCAACAACTCATTTTACAGATGCTGAATGCAATGTTTCAAGAAGATAACAGGTAGTTGAAGAGAGCACAGTTACAAAGTGGCGGTATAAAGATTCCGAACTAGTATGCTGGACTCCAGAGTCTTGTCATTAGAAAGTGTCTCCACACCCCCCCGCCCCGCCACCCTCCCGCACACACACATACACTTTTTTCCCAGGACAGGACAAGCTGGGTAAGCTGGGGAGAAGCTGCATAAGTGAGCTCTCAACTCCCCTCTAGGTAGCTCAAGTTATTATCAGAACGGCCTCCCCAGGTAAGTTGTGTAGCTCCCAGGTAAGTTGTGTAGCTCCCAGGTAAGCTGTGTAGCTCCCAGGTGAGTTGTCTAGCTCTCTTTTATTTCACAGAACCACCTCTGAAGTGAATGCTGGGACAAGCACAGGAACATCTGTAGGCCGTCAGCTGTGCGTGAAAGAGCCTCTAGCTCTTAAGGGAACCAGTGTTGAGTAACCTCTAACCTAGATGGTGCCTTCTGAGTTTTCTAGCAAATGCCTCTGAATGTGGGAAACAGTCTTTTTAAAGTAACCAATCCTCAGGTATTATGGTGAGGTTATTACAGTTCATCTGGCCAGGTCTCCAGTTTCAACAGCCTGGGTGGTGTCTGATGACAAGGAAAGACTAACTTAGTTTGAATGCTGATGGAATACGGTGACATCTTTCAAATGCAGATTTCAACATTTCAGTTTCTAAATGTGGATTTCTTTGAAATTATAGTGACCCTAACCTTTGCTCCTTACCTATCTCTTTTTTCTTCCCTTTCACATTTTCCGATTATTTGTTTAAATTGTGTAACTGTTTCCCCAGCTCTCCGACAAGCCTGGTGGAGAAAGAATTTAGTACTGCTATTTGTAAAACAACGACACTGGGTCTTTTTCTTCCTTGGATTGAGATACGTCCAAGCAGTAAACCAAGTATTACGGGAGGCCCTGGAATGTCATTTAATGTACAAGAGCACTAATTCATTTAGGCCTTTCCATTCTGGGCAAAAAAAGAAATTTCATCAGGAAAACTGCAAACTAAATATAGGAGCACCTGGGAGAAGGAATGCTACCACGGCAGACTCCTCCAAAAGCTCCCGGTCCGAATGCCTTCATTCCTTTGCTTTCCATCTGTGCTATGGGCCAGATTTATTGTACAGTATTCTGCCTTAAATTATAAGTTCCCTAAGAGCAAGGACGATGTTGAGGTCATCTTTGTCCTATCTTTCCGATGCTCCTCCCTCACTAAACGTAATCCCTGCAGAGAGTGTACGCTCTATTTCTCATTTAAGTATTTACTGGACGCCTACTTTATGACAGACACCGCATTAGGCTCTGGAGGTTCAGTCCTGAATGTCTGCTGAATTGACTTGTAGATAAAAGGAAAACGTGAAAACACAAAGTCATCGAACTGGACTCCAGGGACATTTTCTCTTGCTCTTGGGTGGCACTTTTTAATTAAATCTGCACAGGCTTTAAGTGATAGAAGCCAAAATGACACAAGGCTCACTGCCTCCAAGAAGTTCTAGAGCGAGTCCTGCTGGAGGAAGGAAGGGCGATCACGCTGTGTGTGCCACAGCGCCGGGTCAGAAAGGTGCAGGCTTGCTCAGCTGGCCTCTCTAAGCCCTTCCTGGCATCCTGTGACGTTTTTCCCTTCTCCCTCAGCGTCAGATACTCAAGAACATTATCAGGTCTGTATCTGAATGACCAAGGGGCATTTCAATCATTCCTGTCTGAGGCTAATAGCAGTTTTCCAGAATCTAGAACAACAGACCTAAAATTAAACGGGCTGGGGTTATTTAATGTTAAAGGGCCCCTGAGCATCTGTATAAGAGACACTAATTGCCTGCTATTTTAATAAACTGGTATTGGTTCTAATGAGTGGATTTATTTTAAAAAAGTAGAGCACGCATCAAGAGCTGAAGAGAAGTTTGGGCTGAGGAGAGATGGTCACGTGAGGCAACGGAGGCGGTGGAACACTTTAACCCAGAGCAGTATCTTCTGGCGGTTTAGCAGATTATGTCTCTGCCTTTTATGAATTTTGGAGGCATCCAGCAGCCTCATTTCCAGGATTTCC